TAGGTTAATTTTATCATTCCAGCATTCTTCTCTCTCTCTTTTTTTATTTTGTTCCTTTTTTCTGTTTTGGTTAACCTTCTTTTCAGTGAATTGAGTATTTTTAGTTTACGGTTTTATCTCCTTTCTTGACTTTCAGTTATAGCTCTGTTGCCTTTTTAGTGCTTGTGCCTTAGTGACTGTAATGTGCATCTCTGACTTCCCTGTAATGTCAGAGATGTACATTCACATATAGTTGTCTACTTTATGAATTAAGAACTATGGCAGATTCCCATTTACCTTCCCCCTGCCCTTTTTTTTATTATCCTGTTTTTGTTTATTTTACTTACATATATTCTTTATAGTCCATAATATACTATTATTTTTGCTCAGTAGTTTTTAAGGAAAAGAAATATATGTTGCTCCTTGAACAATGTGGGAGTTAGGGACATCAACATTCCCCATCGCACATTAGAAAATCCACTTATAACTTTATAACTTTTTTTTCCTGCATATAGCCTTTGACTCCCCCAGAACCTAACTGCTAATAGCCCACTGTTGACCCAGAAGCCTTACCAATAACACAAGCAATCGATTAACTCATATTTTGTATATTATATATATTATATACTTTATTCTTACAATGAAGTAAATTAGAGAAAAGAAAATGTTACTGAGAAAATTATAAAAATATGCATTTACTTTACTGTACTGTATTTATCAATACCTGCAAGATGAATTGTTTACAAGATGAATTCTCAGTACCTACATCAATATTGTCTTAGATGATGAGTCAAAACACTGTAGTTTGTTATACTTATTACCAACGCTAGACATCAAAAGTGAAGAGAGAATGTGAAAAGGAAACTCATGTTTATTTACAGGTATAATGATTATGTGCATTGATAATGAAGAAGCAGCAATATGATTACTTTATGATAGCCTACTGTAATAGATTGTAATAGATTGTTTCACGGTAGCCCAGCCTATGCACTAATGAATGAAGATTCTTTATGGCACACATCATTACAGTCACATTCATTCATAATATAGTATTGGAAACATGGTTACTTTTTTTTAAAAAACCACTTACCTTGATGATAGGCTCACTTCAAGAGACGGAGCCATACTGTATGGTAATGTGATTCTTTGAAAGCAAAGTTATAAAACAGTAAAAAAAAACCCTAACATTATTAATTTTATATTAAATATTACTCACGTTATGCCTGTGTAAGGATAGGCCATCCGCTTCAGTACAAATCTTGCACACGATGTTCTACGTAATGAAATACTTAGGCGATGATGATGATAATGATGCAAAGACATCTCATACAGTCTTGCTGTACAGTTACTAGATTTTCACCTGAAGACATACACATACAGCTAATACGTTTATTGTTTATTATTTTTTCATTAATAAGTTTACTATTAATCATAAGTTTGTAAACTAAGTAAGTTTATTAACTGTATGGCATGATGACTGTTTCTGTTAAGTGGAAGTGGATCATCACAGAGGTCTTCATCCTCATCTTGGTGCTGAGTAGCCCGAGGAGGAAGTGGGGTCGGTCTTGCTGCCTCAGGAGTGGCAGAGGCTGAAGAGGTAGAGGAGAGGGAAGGGGAGCAGGAAAAACAGGCACACTCAGTGTAACTTTATGGATATATATAATAATTTCTGTCTGACTTTTTTTTGCTTTTTTATTTCTCTAAAAATGTTTCTGTATCGTACCAATCCTTCTTCCACCCTTTGCTTTAGTTTCAGTGCCCATATCATAGAAGGGTCCATGTCGCAGAAGAAGTCGAAAGCAGTCTTGAATAATCGGAACCCTTCTGCCAGATTGTCTGATGCCAGTTTATTTTCAGGCACTGCTTCTTCTGCATCTTCATCATCTGGCACTGGCTCTTGAATTTCTCCATGATTCATATCTTGAAACCCTTCACCCCCGACATTTTTTGCTGTTTCCACAATCTCTTTTATGATGTCCTTGTTTGGCTCTGTCGTAAATCCTTTGAAGTCATGCACAACTTCTGGACACAGTTTCTCCAGCAGGAATTTATAATTTTGAACTTAATGGCTTTCATGGCCTTTCCTATAACACTGGTGATATTGTCAATGCTGTAATATTCCAGACTTTTATGATGTTCGCTCCATCACGGTTCCCTTCCACAGCATTGACAATCCTTTTCATAGGGTACTGTGTGTAATGAGACTTAAAGGCCCTCCTGACCCCCTGATCTAGAGGCTGAATAGAGATGTCATATTTGGAGGCAAGAGGACCACTTTAACACTTTGGTGGTGAACTTTATAGGGTTCAGTGTGGCTCGGGGATTTTCCAATGCCAAAAGAACTTTAAAAGGCAGTCACTTACTGGAAATGTGCTTCTGACTTCAGGGACAAAGCATTGATGGAACCAATCCAGAAAAAGTATTCTCATTGTCCAGGCCTTTTTGTATAACCTGAAGACTGGCATCTGGTGTTTTATCTTTTCCCTTCGAGGCTTGGGGGTTAGCAGCTTTATGGATAAAGAGCAGTCCTGATTATAAACCTGACTGCATTTGCACACAACAGTAGTGTTAGCCTGTTCCTTTCTGCCTCAAATCCTGGTGCTCACATCTCTTCCTTACTAATAAATGTTTCATATTACATTAATATATAATGTTTCATATAATACTAATATTACACATTAATACATAATAATTAATTATTAATAAGAAATGTCCTCTGTGGCATTTTTCCTTCCAGAATAGGGCATTTTCATCTGTATTAAAAAGCCTGTTGAGGCAGATACCTTTCTCTGCAGTGATTTTCTTAATAGCATCTGGGAGTCATCTATTGCCTCTTGGTCAGGAGAAGCTGCTTCTATTATCTTGAGGTTTTTAAAGCCGAACCTCTTTCTAAAATTATCAAACTGCCCTTTACTGGCATTACATTTTCCAGCTTTAGATCCTTCACTTTCCTTTTGCTTTAAGTTGTTATGTAATGACTTTGCTTTTTCTTAAATCGTACTGAGTGTATAAAAACGCCTTTCTTAGAGCAGTCCTGCACCCACATAAAAGCTGCATTTTCAATACGACATAAAAAGGTATTTCACAACAAGTACAAGGTTTTCACGCCTGCTGGTGTCGCTGCAGCAATGACCTCATAAACAACCTTTTTGTTTTTTTTCATAATGGTCCTTAGACTGAATTCATTTATCTTGAAATGGTGGGCAACTGCAGCTCCAGACCTCAGTCTGTGGGACATACCCAGTAATTCAACGTTTTCTTGTAATGTCATGACTTTTCTCTGTTCATGGAAGCACTTTAAGCATTACTAGCGGCATTTCGTATGGATCCCATGGTGTTTTTCAGGGTTTAACGGTATTGCACTAAACATGATGAAAATTATGCTAAATCCTCAAGAGATCACTTTTTACTGCGATACGCAGTTTACTAGAGAGATGAACTGCTCCTGCGGGTATGATTAGCACCACATGGTGCTCTAGGCTGATGCCAGGAATACTTGAGCTCACCACTTAGCAGCAGGAGGTGGCTACAGAATTATTACAGTAGTATAGTGCGTACTGCAGTTAATACGATTTAACATTGCATCTTTGTTTATATTTCACTCAGCTGTGAGTAGTGCTATGTACAGTGTAAGTTTTTGTAAATTTTAACTTTATAGTAGATATGTATTTTTTATTTAGTAAATGATAAAATAGACTAGTAGCTACATATATTTTATGCATTCATGTCATACTTGTTCTTAATTTTTAAAATATTTCTAAGCTACACGGTTTGCAAGATTTTTCAAATCATTGCAAATCTCCAAAATATTTTCCAATTTTTAAAATTATTTTGGGGAAAGGTAATTAGGTTTTTGGGGGGTTTGGGGGGATTTTTTTTGGTGGAGGTACTGGGGATTGAACCCAGGACCTTGTGCATGCTAGATATACACTCTACCACTGAGCTATACCCTCCCCACAATTTTTTGTAATTGAAAAAAAAAATCCACACAAATGGATCTGTGCAGTTCAAATCTATGTTAAGGGGCAACAGTATATAAAATAAAGTGAAAATGATTTTCAGGAGTCCTTTTATGTTTATCTACTTGTTTCCCATTTTAGTACTCATTTCATGCAGATCTGAGCTTCTGTCTTGTATTTCCCTTAGCCTGAAGAGCTTTTAATTTTATTTTTGAAGTGATTTGTTGGAGACAATCTCTCAGGTTTTTTCCATTTAAAAATGTATTTATTGATATTTCTGTTAATAGATATTTTCATTGGATATAAAATTTATTTTTTACTTTTTTTCTTTCAATACTAAAAAGATTTGGTCCATTGTCTTCTTGCCTTTACTGTTTCTGTTTGCAGTTAGACGTAATTCATATTGTTCCTCCGTCTGTAATATGTGTGTGGTGGGTGTGTATGTGTATTTTTTTTCTTTTTTTTTTTTAGTATTATATACTTTAGCATGTGTGTTTTCATTTTCCTGCTTGGAATGTGCTTAGCTTTTGGATTTGTGGGTTTTTTCTTTTAGTTTTCATTTTTTTTGTTTTGTTTAGGATGTTTGTTTTCCTCAAATTCATAACTTTTTTGTTGTCATTGCCAGCTTGCTATTAGTTTTACTGAAGTTCTTTATTTCAGCTAAACCTTTTTTGTGTGTACCATTTCTGTTTTGATCTCTTTCAGTTTCCACTTCTGTGCTAAATTCCTCATCTGTTTATGCATGCCTGCTTTTCCACTTGATTCTTTCACGTGTTTCTTATTGGTGTTTTAAAGTCTGTCTGATAATTCCATCGTCTTGTCTGTGGATCTCCTTGTATTCACTTTTTTTATGGGTCAGTTTTTTCTGCTTTTTGCATATCTAATAATTTGCTGCGATTACAGCCTTGCTGCTAGTTTCCAGGCCTTTAGAATTTCTTTGCTCACCAGTTTTGCTCCAGATACTATGCAAGAAAGAAACAAAGTTTGCAAAGTGTGGTCTTAGATGTTGGAATGTAACTTGTATGTGGTTCTGATTCAGGATTCTTTGTTTTCTTGCCCTAGGTATTCCTGGAGTGGAGAACCACTTTTTTTGACCTGCCCTACATCAGAAGTCACTGAGCCCCCAGCCTGTAGCCACTGTGGCGTCCAAAGGATATTTGAGTTTCAGCTTATGCCAGCACTGGTCAGCATGCTTAGAAGTGCTAATTTAGGTAATAAGCTCTTTATTAATTTGAGTTTGTGGGTTTCTGGCAGGAATTTGGAATTTTTTTTAACATGAAAGACTTAACTTCATTTTTGTTTACTTATAAAGTATAAGCATATTACAGAAAATTTGGGAAATTATAAAATTATTTTATGAAAATTTATAATCCAGCCAATCTAATACAAACAGGATACTTTTGGTTGAATGAAGGCCAGGTTATTTTCTGTCCTTTATTTTTATTTTCATCACATTATTATATAATCAATTATTATTCTTTAAAAAACAGCTTTTCATTATTCCAATTATAATTTTATTATTATTATATCATCTTTGTTTTTAGAGTTTTTTTAAAGAAAAATTAAAAGTTTTTATAATAAAAGTGACATGTGTTGTGTAAGATTCAAGGAGTACAGAAGTATATGCAGTGAGAAATAAAGGCCTTCCCAATGTCATTTACTAGAGGAAACTTTTTTTTCCATGGTGAGTTTCTTTTCCTGTACCTTCCTCTAAACATATTCTGTGCATACTCACACACATGAATATACATGTAAAACATTTTTTGGACAAAAAATATGCATACTGTTTTATAGCCTTTATTTTTCCTTTCTCATATAATGGGGAACTTTTTCCATGTTAATAATATATTAGAATTTTTTGCAAACAGCTTTACTGAGATGTAATTGACATATGACAAAGTATATTTAAATTGTACAGACTCCTAAGTATTGACAAATGAATATGCATGAAATAATCACTACCAGAAAGTAATGAATATGTCCATCACTCTCGGACGTTTCCTCAAGTCCCTTTGCACCCTTTTTTTCCCCTCCTTTGGGTTCTGTTTTCCCCCCTTCTACTAACCCCTGATCTACTTTGTCATTATAGATTAGTTTTCATTTTCTAGAAATTTTATAAATTTTTTCGTTTTTATTTTTTGAAGTTTTCTTTTTTGGTATATACATATTTCATTGAAGTAGTTAGTTTACAAGTAATTAGTGTCGATTTATACATGAACATGCATATATTTGTTTTCATATTCTTTTTCACAAGTTACTACAAGATATTGAATATAGCTCCCTGTAGTATTCTTTTAATGTCTTAGTCTGGCTTTGGTGTTAGGATAACGCTAGCCTTATAAAATGAGTTAGTAAGTATTTCCTTCTCTTCAATTTTTGGGGAGACTTTAAGAAGAATTTGTGTTTATTCTTTTAAGTGTTTTGTAACATTGACTATTTAAACCATCTAGTCCTTGGCTTTTTTTTTATTGGGAGGTTTTTGATTATTGATTCGATCTCCTTACTATAGGTCTATTGAAATTTTCTGTTTCTTTTTGAGTCAATTTTGGTAGATTCTGTGTTTGTAGGAGTTGATCCGTTTCATTTAGGTTGTTCAGCTTGTTTGGTATACAACGGTTCACAGCATTCACTTACAGTCTTTTTTATTTCCATAAAATTAGTCGTAATGTTCCTACTTTCATTTATGGTTTTTAGTAATTTGAGTCTTCTCTGTTTTTTCCTTAGTCATTCTAGCTCAGAATTTGTCAATTTTGTTGATTTTTATAAAGAACAAACTTATGGTTTTGTGGATTTTTCCCTATTTTTTTATTCTCCATCTAAAAAAATCTCTGTTCTAGCCTTTATTTTTTCCTTTCTTTTGCATCCTTTAGGGGTTGGTCTTCTCTTTCTGGTTCCTTAAGGTATAACTGTTAAGGTCATTGATTTGAGATTTTTGTTTTTAATGTATGTGTTTACATCTGTCAGTTTTCTTCTTGGCACTGCTTCCACTGTGTCTCTTATAAGGTTTGGGGTTTTTTGTTTTGTTTTGTTTTTTTCATTTGTCTCAAGCTACTGTCTAATTTCCCTTGTGATACCTTTTTTGACCTGTTGGTTGTTTAAAAATGTTTTAATTTCCACCTATTTGTGAATTTTCCAGTTTTCCTCCTGTTACTGATTTCTAATTTAGTTTCACTGTGAAAAGAAATGATACTTTGTATAAGGTCAGTCTTTTTTCAATGTATTGAGGCTTTGTTGCCTACCATATGGCGTATCCTAGAGATGTTCCATGTGCATTGAAACCAATGTGTTAAGTGGAGTGTTCTCTGTGTGTCTGTGTCTGTTAGTTCTAATTGATAGATAGCATTGTCAAACCCTCCTTTTCCTTACTGACAATTTCTGGGTTTATTTATTATTATAAGTGTGTTATTGAAGTCAACTATTATTGTAGCACTATTTTTCCCTTTAAGTCTGTCAATTTTTGCTTCATATATTTTGGATCTCTGCAGATAGAAGCTTATATGTTTATAATTGTTATGTCTTCTTGCCCTATTGACCTTTTATCAACATGTAATGTCCCTGTTTGTCTCTTGTTACCATTTTCTAAAATTTGAAGTATATTTTATCTACTGATAAGCTAGCCACCCCAGCTCTCTTTTGGCTACTGTTTACCCGAAATATCTTCTTCTATCCTTTTGCTTTCATCCTCTTTATATCCCAGTATCTAAAGAGAGTTTCTAATCGTGTATAGATGAATCTTTGTTTTGCTTTGTTTTGTTTTATTTTTTTAAGAGACTGTTTTTTTAGAGCAGTTTCAGGTTTATAACAGAATTAAGCAGAAAATACAGAGTTCCCATAGCCCTCCCCACCCACACATATATAGTCCCCTATCCTCAACATCCCCCATCAGTGTGGCATATTTGGTACAATTGATGAACCAACGTGGGCACATTATTATCAACCAAAGTCTATAGTTTACATTAGGGTTCATTCTTGATGTTGTACATTCTATGGGTTTTGACAAATGCATAATGACATGTAGCCACCACTATAGTATCATATAGAATAATTTCATTGCCCTAAAAATCCCTTGTGCTCCATCTTTTCATCCCTCCCTCCCTCCCTCTCCCCAAACACCTGGAACCACGATCTTTTTATTGTTTCTGTAGCTGTGCCTTTTCCGGAATGTCATTTGGTTGGAATTGTAGTTTATAGTCTTTTCAGATTGGCTTCTTTTATTTAGTAATATGTCTTTTAAGTTTCTTCCATGTCTTTCATTGCTTGATAGCTTTTTTAGTCCACTGCACATACACTTTTTAATTTACATATATGTACTGTTCATTGTTTCTAAGAACATTTAGTGCTTTACCTTTTTAAATTTACATAGTTATCAAAGGAATAAAGCCAACACCTTGCTGTTATCAGCAACATTATTTATAATTGCCAAGATGTGGAAGCATCCTAAGGGCACATCAATAGTTGGATAGATAATGAAGATGCAGCATGCATATATGTAATGGAATACAACTCACCCTGAAAAATCAGCTGATAACCTTATGGGAGCTCCCTTGTATGTTATTTGTTGCTTTTCTCTTGCTAGTTTTAATATTTTCTCCTTATCATTAATTGTTGTCAATTTGATGACTGCGTGCTTTGGTGTGTTCCGCTTTGGGTTGATCCTGTGTGGTACTCCCTGCGCTTCCTGGACTTGGGTGACTGTTTCCTTTCCCAAGTTCGGGAAGTTTTCAGTGATTATCTCCAAAAATTTTCTCAGGTCCTTTCTCTCTCTTTTCTCTTTCTGGGCCCCTATCATGTGAATATTAGAGCACTTCATGTTGTCCCCGAGTTTTCTTAAAC